AAAAAAAAAAAAAAAAACCACATGCGCTTGTCCAGCCACATTCAGATATTCAGGTAAAGGCACAGAATAGGAGGGCAGTTGGGACAACAATGTTCTGCTTTTGACAGGTTAGTACTAGAAGGAAGAATGGGACAAGACACTTATTAGCTTATTGGCATACACAAGGGAATTATTATAACAAGAAACCATGGAATTTTAACTAGGCAGAAAAGAAGGAAAGGTCATCCAGGGAGTGAAAGATAATAAATTGTGCCATCAATAGATTAGGGTTTAGTGGTTCAGGGCACTCAAAGAGTAAGTTAGAATGATGTGGAATGGTGGTCCACAGTGGAAATGCATGAAATTGAGATTATGGATGGGCAGTAAATATTTTCATTGACAAAGTGTCAAGTGTAACTATGAGAGTAAGAGGCAGGCTCATTAGGGGCTAGTGGGTAAGGAATAGGAGACCTGAGACATGCAAATGTTTTATTGAATGAAAAGTTGAAGTATATTAATTTCAAAAATGAAAATTTCATAATTCAAAAGGAACAGAGGGAAACTGATGTGTATTGCCTGTTTATGTCCTTTACCCATGTTTCTATTAGTTACTTTTTTCTTTTTGATGATAGCTATGCTTCATATATTAAAGACATTACATCTATCTTATGTGTTGGAGTTTTTATCCTAGTCTTTTCCTTTCATTTTTATGTTTAATCTTATTATAAATATAACCTTAATGTAGTCATATCTAACACTATTTTTCCTTATGATTTCTTGTTTTGCTTTTATGCCCAAAATGACCACTTTTATTTTCAACAGAGATCAGACTGTCACTAATATATTCTTTGAGCTTTTTTTATAGTTTATATTATTTTATTTTTATATAAATAGATATGGAATTTATATGAGATATAATGTAAAGAGAAGAATTAAACTTTTTCCAAAGAAATTATCCAATTATTAGCACTATTTGTTAAATAAAATTCTATTATAAGTGCTTGTATGTTTCTGATATTTCTATTATAATATATTGATATGCTGCTTAATCTTATGCCAATATTTCATTATGGCTTTATTTATTATATGTTTAAATATTGGTATCACTAGTATCTCTTCTTTTAATTTTTTTATCCTCTTAGTTATTATCACTAGTAAACTTTAGTATCATCTGATCAAACTGCAATTTTGTAAGAATTGCATTGAATTTATAAATTAGTTTACTTAGCAATGACACCTTTACAACATTGTCTTACTCTCCAAGAACAAAGAATATCTCTTCATTAAATCAAGTCTTTTATGTCCCTGAATAAAGTTATAACTTTTTTTAATTCCGTTTTTGCCCAACAAAATTGCCATTTTATTATCCCATATATAATCATTAGTATTTTTAGCATTGTCAGGTTTATCTAAAATATCACATTGCCTCTAAAAAAGGAGTTGAGTCACTCTGTTGTACAGTTTCAATTCAAGTGATCTTTTCAGTGACCAAATGAGAACTACAAATCATTAGTTGTAGATCAGTTTATTCTAACTCTACATCCTATGAGACAAGGCTAGGAAAAGCTTTTTGGAAGACACTCAAAGTGCTTAATCATTTAAATAAGAGTAATGATCTTTTGAATATGTGGAATAAAAATGTTGACTGATTTTAGCTATAAGTATGTATGGGGACATTAAAATAGGTCACAGAAATTATAACATCTATGCTTGTTTTCGTTAAAACTATTATCTACTTTAGCTTTATGGAAAATAAAAAAGCTGTAACAAGTTCAATTGGCAGTTGGCCACTCAGTTTGTTATTTTTCCATCTACACACTAGCTTCACCCCAGCTAATACTGATAACAACAGATCCAAAGGAAAACTTTACCGAATCCAAATCATTATTTGAGAATAATTTTATAAGTAAAGACTTCATAGATGTTATTACAAGTAGCAATATTTTTAAATCCCAACAGGGAGATCGAGGCCCAGCGGGTCCCCCAGGAATAGCAGGGATGTCGGTGAGTTCAGATTATTTCACATCATTTTCACAGGTAAACAGTTCTATCTCCATGATACACCTGTGGCCAGGGATCAAGAAGGGCAGGAGAGCATGCCATAACTCCCATGGCATGAGGTTCCTGACGATTCTAGTTTCATAAATAACACTCCCTGTATTTTCCACCTCCAAAATCCTCTATTTCCTATTTTTTTGTTTGTTTGTTTTTTGTCCTCTTTTTTTTCCTTCCCAAGTCACTTTCATGTAGGGGAAAGGAACCCCAGTTATTATACATTAATTTATGAGCACAGCTCTGGAAATTTCATTGTGTTTCTCTATTCTTGTCATAGTTCAAGGTTTCTCAATCTTCAGAAGACAGAGTTCTTATCCTCAGGCATGTACGTCAGGTTCCTTGTATTAAGTTGCAATCTGCCTGAATTATTCCTTAGCTAGGTGTTATTAGCAGAGTTTTATTGCTGCTAATGTTTCCTCGTAAACTAGCCCTTCAATCCTCTCAGTCATTTTTGTTGCTCTCTGGTGTCAAATGTTTTAATCTCATCAAGGTCTTTTCAAATGAATAGTAAGTGCTCTAGGAAAGGTTGAAATTATTTCTCTGAGCCCTAGAGATCATTCTGATCTTCTTCATGATGCTCTAATTAAAATTTTGTGGTCACGCTTTATGAATAAGAGACCATTTGTCCTCTTGCTAGGTGCCCCTGCCGGGCAGGCCCAGAATAACATTACAGGAAAGTCAGTGAAAACCATGGGCTTGTATCACAAGAACATAAGAAAGATAAGATAAGGGCCCTACCATCACCACCCACAGTCACCCCCTGAGATCTCCTGACACCCAACACCACTCAAAGCCCTGCCCATTACCCACTGCCATCCCACAAAGTGCTCAGAGCCACTCTACTTCACTCCATTAATTTCTAACCACACAAAACAGGGCCCCATCCATCATCTTCATCTTTCATAGACAATGCCATTCTCTTACTTAGCCATTATAGATCAAGTCAAATATTCGTATGACTGTAAAAGTAACATGAAAATATCCTCTTTAGAAACTCTTTCCAAATTTTTTATAAAAGGAAGTATTCTTGAAAGTTGACTACACACTGAATTCTATTCCCTCACCACTGCCTCACTCTCTACCATTTCCAGCAACATATTTGGAAATTAGTTTCTGGAAGTGTCCTTAGAGAACCCTTACAACCTATTCCTCTTATACTCACATCCTGTGATTTGAATTTTTGTTTCCTTGTGATATAATAAAGTTTAATTTTTTCATTGTATTCACTCAGGTGTTTCTACATATTACATTTTGCTATTATCTTAAATTAAGCTTATCTTCTAGGAAAAAATACTGGCACCATTGAAAGTATTTAAAGATGTGCAACAGTGGCAACAGGCAGTCCAAATGAGAAATTCCAAATATGTTTTTCAAAGAGGCAGCATTATTTAGATAAGGGGCTAGCCTGCCACTTATTTGTATGTCTAAGATCTGATGTATTTACTAACAAAGCAGTTTTCATATGTCATAATTAAAAGCATTAACTGACTAGGCATAGTAGGCTCACACCACAATCCCAGCACCCTGGGAGGCCGAGACGGGTGGAATGCTTGAGCCCAGGAGTTCAAGACCAGCCTGGGCAACATGGCAAAACTCTGTCTCTGCAAAAAGTGCAAAAATTAGCTGGGCACCTTTAGTCCCAACTACTTGGAGGCTGAGGTGGGAGGATTACTTGAACATGGGAAATGAAGGTTGCAGTGAGCTGAGATTGTGTCACTGCACTCCAGCCTGGGCAGCAGAGCAAGACCCTGTATCAGAAAATAAAATAACACCATTGACTGACAATTACAGAAACAGGAAAGGATAAAAATTTTACATACTACAAATGTGTTCAGTTAAAGATGTATATTTGGTTTCTATAACTAGCCCTTCTATGGCTCAGAAGATAAAACAATGGTGAAGACTAGATGACAGTGTGAATGCACTTAGTGCCACTTAAACGTACACTTGAAAATGGTTTAGATGACTGGGCGCGGTGGCTCACACCTGTAATCCAAGCACTTTAGGAGGACAAGGCAGGCGGAATATGAAGTCAAGAGACCAACACCATCCTGGCCAACATGGTGAAACGTGGTCTCTACTAAAAATACAAAAATTATCTGTGCATGGTGGCAGGCACCTGTAATCCCAGCTACTTGGGAGGCTGAGGCAAGAGAATCGCTTGAACCCAGGAGGCAGAGGTTTCAGTGAGCCAAGATTCTACCATTGCACTCCAGCCTGGTAACAGAGCAAAAAAAAAACTCAAAAAAAAAAAAAAAAAAAGGTTTAGATGGTAAACTTTAGTTTATATATTTTACCATGATAAAAAAATATTTTTTGAAAAATGGTGATTGTTCTAATTGAAGCAGGGGTGATACCTGCCCACGAAGACATGCTGGCCATTCAACTCATTACCAAGGGAACCCAATCCTGCTCTTCCTATAACAGACCAGTCTATCCTTTTCCAGTATATACAGGACTATCCAGGGATTCCCCCTAGAGCTTCCTTCTTTGCCTTTCTCTGATGATGGCATGTGGTTTTACAGGAGGGAGTGCCTGTGAGTGCTGGTGGTGGGGTGGGGCCTCTGCTCACCATGCTGTCCCCCAGATGCTCTGAGTTCTCTGCTGGTCCTACTGACCTTAGGGATGACTTCCATCAATGTCCCTGATCTCTATGTTTCAGATCTCAAGACCTGAGCCCTCCATACCCGCCATGTCCTACACTAAGACCCTTCAGGACATTGGCCTTCTCAGTTCTAACACATCTTCCTTCTCAGGCCCCCAACAACTTTAGCACATGCAATCTATGGGGAGTCAGGGATGCTGCCTCCAACTTTGTGTCTTCCTAGCTTTGCCATTCAGCATCGCATCTGTACCTATGGAGGGATCTCCTTCCGGAATTCTAAACAGCAAGTGGGAAAAATCTCTCTTCTTTTCATATTTCTCCTAAAACTACTTGGCTTTCTAAGGTCTCAGCCCCACACCTACATCCCATGTTGTCTGTTTTCCAGTCACATTAGGTCCAAGGAACAGGAGGTGGTTCCTTCTCAGAGGCAACCTCACAAGCCTTGCCTGCACATTTTGGCCTCGTGTGCTACCAGTCTCCGCTGGGCCGTCTGCCCCTCTTGTCCCTCCCTGTGGCCTGTCTGCTCCAGGATCTCCCTGTTATCAGTCATCCAAGCCATGGTGTATTGACACAAACTAATCTGTTTCTTTTCCTGCCAACAAAACATGACTTTTCAAATCAAACATGATTTTTTCAGATTGTCTTATGAACTTAAAAACCCTCTTGTGAAAGTCAAACCCTAGAAAAAAAACTTCTTTGATGTTCTGTGCCCATTTTTCCACCCACAAAGTAAAGAAGAGCTGCCAGGAAAATAAGCACAAGAAGGATTTCCAATAATAATGATATTTTGGTCTAATATTTTCAGAAATATTCTCTTCTCCTATCGTCCACCATCCACACAAATATATATTCAGAGAACTGTACCCCAGTCTGAACCTTATGGCCTTCAGAGTTGACTATATCTTTCCCAGACTCTGTCCTCTTAGAAATGCCACTATTATTTATTTATTATTTTTATTTATTTATTTATTGAAATAGAGTCTTGCTCTGTCACCCAGGCTGGAGTGCAGTGGCATGATCTTGGCTCACTGCAACCTTTGCCTCCCTGCAACCTTCGCCTCCCGCGGTCAAGTGATGCTCCTGCCTCAGCCTCCTGGGTAGCTGGGATTACAGGCACATGCCACTGTGCCTGGTTAATTTTTGTATTATTTTTAGTAGACACAGAGTTTCACCATTTTGGCCAGGCTTGTCTCAAACACCTGACCTCTAGTAATCTGCCTGCCTCAGCTTCCTAAGTGCTGGGCTTCCAGATGTGAACCACCGTACCTGGCCAGAAATGCCACTTTAATTTGGAAAGCAACAGCATTAGGAGCATTTTAAACTCAAGGTGGGGGAAGAGAAGCACATGGTGTCGTTCAGCAATTTGGCTCCTAACATTTCTCTTCAATTTGCCTTACCAGGGAAAACCTGGTGCCCCAGGGCCCCCAGGAGTTCCAGGGGAACCGGTGAGTTGGCAGTTAAAAATCCTCTTGTGAAACTCAAACCCTAGAAAAAAACTTTCATGACTGTTGTACTTGTGTTGTACTTGCGTGCAGCTTTAAAACATTTCTTGGCAATTAATTTGTGTCTGTGGATGTGTTTATAGGGTGAGAGGGGACCTGTTGGAGATATAGGTTTCCCTGGACCAGAAGGACCCTCAGGAAAGCCAGTAAGTACTTCTTACTGCTTAAAATATGCCACCTAGAGAAACACTCTAACATTATCTCCTCATCTACTGCCTCAGAAATTCTGAGATTTGAATAAGCAGTTTCCAAGGACTAAGAAAATTGTGCAGATGGATTTTGATGGCATGGACTGGAGTTCTCACTGAGTTCCCTAGATATGTGTGTGGTATCTTTATGTCTTAAACAGTGTTGAAAATAGTGAGAGTTTTAAGTGTCAGGAAATCTGACTCATTATTTCTTAAGCCTAACGTTCTCAACAAACTTAAAGAGAATATAATGGCCTGTCACATCTTAAAGTACAAAGAAACCAAAGACTGAGAGATATAATACCTGTATGTTTAGCTAAATCCCAAAGTAGAAGCTATTTTCTCAAATTTCCTCCTTTATATACAGTCCTTGTTCTTACACTTTCATAAATCACTGCTGGCAAATGTCTCATCCCCTTGTGTCCTAAAAGAGCTCTTGGTTACTGATCTGTGGTATTGATGTGACATTGTAACAATCATTCTGAGTAATTCAATTGCACATAAATTCATCTAGTCACTGCTGTTTGCTAAGAATGTGCTGGGCCCCTAGGGAGGGAATCTAAGATGAATAAGACACACCTCACTCTCAGACTTATGCTTCATAAAAGGTCATTGCTGGTTTATTTGCTATGGTGTATACAGGAAGGAAGGCAAGGTGAACAAGCAGCACAGAATTCAGGATGTTTGGCACCTCTATGAAACCTTCAGGGTTGGTGGCCACCATTTCCCCAGAGAAGGCAATATGAAAAAATGCAATTTAGAGTCAGGAAGATCTGGGTCTGAATTATGGCTGAAAGGATTTTATGAGTCACTTAAGTGCCATTACATATGGAAAGTGCCTGGCTATGGAAGGTACCTGATAATGTTAGTTTCATTCCCTGCCTCCTGTTACCTCCTCATCCCCATCCCCTGCAAGCCATCTCATTGAAGCCTGCCATTGAGTCCCCAGGAGATTATGCAAAAAGCAATTTGTTCATCAACAAATATTTCTTGAGCACCTCCTACATGCTAGGCACTGTTCTAGGTGCTAACAACTCATAGCTTTTGCATTCTAGTGTAGGAAAATGGATAAAAACAACACACACACACACACACACACACACACACACACAGTTTCAAGTAGAAGAAGGTATACGTAGAGTAAAGCTCTGGATTATTATTCAAATAGTGGACTCAGAGAAGATTTGCCTGCAATTTGAGCAGAAACCTGCACAAAGTGAGAAATCAAAACATGGGAAGGTCAGGAGGCCATTGTTTCAGGAAAAAAGAAGTGGCTAGGACAGAAGTGAGCCTGATGAGGTCAAAGACCTCATCAAAAGGCATGAAGTCAAGAATGAACTAAGTGAAGGAAGAATGGGAAGGATACAGAGGGAGATATAGGCAGTGGCCAGACCATGAAGAACTTCCAAGCCAGGGAATGAGGTTTGGATTTCATTTGAAATATGATGGAAATCCACTGGATCTTTTGTAGCAAAGAATGAAAATGATTGAACATTTTCAGAATCACCCTGACACTGTGTGGAGAGTAGGCTGTAGGGAGCAGGGCAGAAGAAGATAGAGCAGTAAGAAAACATCACCATCACCTCCACAAGGGATGGTGACAGTGGGAACAGCTGGGAGTAGGGGAACTTAGGATGTACATTGAAGGGAGAGCCAGCAAGCAACAAAACTTGCTGAGAGACTAGATGCGAAGAGTGAGGAAAAGAGACCAATCACAGCTGTGGTGTGGAGTCTGAGCAACTATGTGAGAGTTCTGCTGTTTGGTACAATGGGGCAGGCTGAAGATCGGTGGATTTGGGAGGGAGAGCCAAGGGTTCTGTTTTGGACATGTTCATGTTGAAGCACTAGTTGATATTCAGGTGGAGATGTCAAGTACACAGTGGATATAGGCACCTGGAATTTGGGAGAAGCCAGGATTAGAGACCAATTTGGGCATCTAAACCTGAGCCTGGAAAAGTAAGAGTCACTGAGGATAGGAAGGAAGAGAGCACTTCAAATGTTAGGAAGAGGACCCAACTAAGAAGGCTAAGAAACTGCTGCCAGAGAGACAGAAAGAAATTCTGGCGACTGAGGTTTCCTGGATGTCAAGTGAACTGTTTTAAGAGAAAGGAGAAAGGAGTGATCAACATACAGATCAGTAATATGAGGGCTGATAATTCTCTACTGCATTGGAAATGTGGAGGTCATTGGTGGGAGAGATCACAGCATGTTAGTGTCTTGGTAAGAATGATCCAGTTGAGAGAGGAAAATTTGATGACACAAGAGAGGAAAGATTACTTTGAGTAGAACTGGTATACTCACAAGTGGGAATTGGTCTTAACTGGAAACAGGGGCAGTTCATCCTTCCTAACTGTGGGGTGTGGAGTGCCAAAGTTGGGGTGCAAATCCATGAAGATTGATGCAACTGGTGGAGGGATGGTGAGAAGGCTCTTTTTTGTTTATTAGTGAAAGAAGAATGCAGGTCGTCCAAGTGTGAACAGTGTGGAGGTGATGCTGGAGGTTTGAAGAGACAGGAAAATGTGTGAATTAGTACTTTCAGAAACATAGAAAGGTAGTCAAATTGGGAAATACAGAAGGATGACCTGGTAATGCTGAGGGGCGACTTGCAATCTGCTGTTATACATCTAGGTTGGAACAAGCAAGCAAAGATACGTGGTTTTCTTCAGCCAGTTAGCTGCTCAGATGCAGATGTGAGGTAGAGAGAAAGAGTTGGTTGTACCCAGGAATGGGGCTTTGCCAGATGAATGAGGTGAGCATAGAGAGGAGCAAATACATATGAGTTATTCTAAAAATCTCTGAAAGCACGACTCCCTTGCGGATAGAAAGTAACACCTTCCTATACAAAAGAGGACACTCATGATAGTCTTTGATAAATTACTAGCGGTAAAAAACAGGTTATAGGGTTCTTTTCTTACATTGTTACCAAAAACATGAATTACATTTTCACACTAGATTTATCTTCTTTTATTCAAGTGACACAGCTGTTTCCTCTCCTTAATCAGCTTTATCTTTGTTCCTTGTGTGTCTGAATGTAATAAATTCTTTGAACCATACACTTCAGGTAACATGGTCTTAGTTAACATACTCTCAGTAATTCCCAGGATGTTTCAGAGAGGTTGGCGGACTATGGTTGGGTTATCACCTGTGACAGATATGAGTATAATTTATAGCAGTGAAAACATGCAGTTCTTTGCAGTTCCATCCTCACAGAATCCATTCCGGCACAATAAAATTCCCTTGGGCTTTTGGAGGAGCATGTCCATTCAATTGCCTGCTGGCTAAGAAATCATATTCCTCACCTTGATCTCCCTCTTCAAATCAAATCTCAAAAACACACCTGCTGTTGGACCCTGGGAATTTGATTTGACTTCAAATACTTTTCCTTCTTATATCTCCCAGCCAATAGTTCTCTTAGTCTTATAAATATTTAAGCAGGACTAGGCTTCGTTATCACTTCTAGAACTCCTTTTTAAAGTTAAGGAAACTTCCAGTTTTCTAATAAAAAGTGACTGCTTAAGATGGTCAAAACCATGATTATACATTGCTTGCTTTTCTTTCATATTTCCAACTGAAAAATAACAATTGTTCTCTGACTGACAGTTTATTTTATAGTAGGATCATGCTCTGGCCACATTATAAAATTTCTCTAGCAGCAACTGAGACCATTTACTAAGAATGATTCTCTGTGCTGGAAAACCTGTTAGAAGGTAACAAAAATGCCATACTCCAGCCACCTAATGCCATGAGGCACCTTCTTATTTCTCAGGATGACCTGATAGGAGAATGAGAAAGGAAAATAATCTTTGCTGACTATTTATAGTGGACCATGTATTTTTTCATGTTATTTCACTTAATTCTTAGCTTTAAGGTTATTTATTTTCCTCACTAGTGAAGAGGCTGATGCTATTAAGGTTAAGTAAATTGCCCAAAAACATTAATGGGACTGGTAAGTGACAGAGTCAGAATCTGAACGCAGGGCTGTCTGATTCTATTAATCTGTTTTCCATTTTACCACCCTGCTTTACCAAGCTCTCAGAAAAAACATGATTAAGGAACTGTCCTTGAAACTTTACCCTTTTGTTATGTTTAACTATATTAATGCAGAATTAGAAATACTAATCCTTTTTTGTCTTTATAGGGAATAAATGGAAAAGATGGAATACCAGGTGCTCAGGTATGGAAAATATCATTTAAAATTAAAGTTACAATGCATACTGCATCCAGAACACCTACCAACATTTAGATCAATCAGATTGATGAAAAGTCTTGGCAAGCAGTGATTTTCATGTTGACATCTGTTTTTCAGGGCATCAAGGGTAAGCCTGGAGACAGAGGCCCCAAAGGAGAACGTGTATGTATATTACTATTGTGATTGTTATTCAGGTCTGTCTGTTAACAACTGTCCCATCATTTGGGTTACACAATTATGTGTGTAAGCCCTTGCAAATCACCAGTTATGTAAAGGCTAGGGTGTCATCTGGTTACATCTATGTAGTTGGCCTTTGTACACAGCCAAGTATACTTTGCTATTAAAGTTTGGAAAGCTTTTATTTCTCGTCTCAGACGTATATCTCTACTATAACCGTCACCCATGTTCTTTTTATCTAGAGTAAAGTTTCTCAACCTCAGCGCTGTGAATAGCAGGGGCAGATAATTGTTGTGGTTGGCTGCTTTGGAGTTGTAAAATGCTTAGCAGCATCCATGGCCTTCATCCACTAGATGCAGTAGCACCACCATCCCTCCAACTGTGACAGCCAAAAGTGTCCCCAGACATCACCAAATGCCTCCTGGGAAGCAAAATCACTACAGTTGAGAACTACTGACATATAGAAAAACTAAGTAGAGTAAAGGAGGTGGTGTGAGGGGGTAGAGAAATGGAAAGGGTAACTGAAAGTATAGTGAAGTTACTAGTAATACTAATTATGTTATATGTTTTTGTGTTGTTTGGAGCATTAATGTCATTGTTGCAATTTCTCTTTATTTCCTTTAATGAACCTCAACATTTTCTACTAGAATAAGTTTCCACTAGAATTAATGGAATTAATTTGTGGTAGAGTCAGGCCACTGCAAGAAGTTTCTCAAACATTGTTACTTAATGTAATTCTATTAAGTGTTGCTATCGTGTGTGAATGTGAGCACGTGTTATATACTGGTGTCAGTTTGCTAGCTTTTGTTTATTATCATATATATAATCCATAATAAATAAAGGAAATGTGAAAATACAGACATTGTAAATTTAAAAGGAAAGAAAAACTCTACCCTATCCAACTACACAGAGATAAACACTGTGACATTTGGACATGTTTCTGTATTTCAATATGTGTACATAATATACACATATATTTATATGCATTAATATAAATATATACTTTTCCATAAAGGACTTTATGCTGTATTGTAAGTGACTTTTTTCACCTAACAATATATATTGGTCATCTTTTCTTGTCAGTAAATACAAGTCTATAGCTACCTTTTAATTGCTATATGTTATTCTACTGTTTGACTATACCTTATTTAACTTATTTCATCTGCTGGACATTTGGTTTCTTTCTATTTGTCATAATAATAAACATCTTTGTACCTAACTTATAAAATAATTTTAGTATGTTAAAGATTGCATTCATTTTGCACATGATCAGAGTATTAATCATTGATCAAAGTGTGCTAATATTTGTTCCAGTCATCTCAGAAATTTCTCCAAATGTGAGTTGGAGTGACAGACATGTATGCAGATATATTTTTTTATAACTAAGACAGCAGCATTGATTCTAGTCCCAACTGCTTTTATTTCTTTCTACATGGCTTCTTTCTATATCTGATTCTATGATGACATAAATCTCTGTAACTGTTCTTTTATTTTTGTTATTTTTTTAAGTCAAGAGAAATATAATTTGGCCTTCTGCAGAATAGTCATAGTTAAAAGAATAATATAATGAGATGCAGGGCAGCTTCAAGCACCATTCCATCATATTTTGTCTGAGGATCACCTCCTGAAATTATACAACTAAATATTTGAAAATCTATGACTGAAGCAACTGCCATGATCTCTCTCTCTCTCTCTCAATCTCTCTCTCTCTCTTCTCTCTCTCTCTCTCTCTTCCTCCCCTGCACTCTCATTCTCTCTTGCACAAACACATACAGCATCAAGTTTCCTTGATGCTGTTTTTTATCCTGGAATATGGAAAAACATTCCAGGATAAAAAACAGCATCAAGGAAACTTCATATCAGATTTAAGTACATATAATGTAGTATTTTACTTTCATATCAGATTTAGGAACATCTAAGACAGTATTTTACTAATCTATTATGACATCTTATTCAACTGATTCTTCTGTAGTTCATTTATATTGTTAAGTAAATGATCTCATGATATCCTCCCCCAGTCACCTGCTTTGATCTTTTTCAACGGCTCTCCCTTCTCACCTCACATATATACCTAAATATGTATATATTTAGGACACAGTGATCAAACCATAGTGCGCACACACACATACACATGCACACACATGCATACACATGTAAAGCACAAATACAGAGAACAAACCTGAAGAGTCTAATAAAGACCAAACAAATAGGGCAAAGCCAGGGGAGGGGAGAGCATATGTTTTAGGAGAGATTTTGAGTGTCCTGACATTTTTTTAAGTGAAAAGTCTCAGTAACGAGATCCACTTGGCAATCTTCCTTTAACATTGCAAAGGAGACCCGGACCTCAAGTAATAGCTGAAGTTGACTCTCAAAACTGCCATCATCCTAGATGAACAACAAAGTACAACTAACGTTCTCACTAACTTTTATATATTGAGTACTGCCAAGATGCCAGGCATTACTCTGAGCACTCTACTTGCATTAATTCATTTAGTTCTCAAAATCACCCTATTTAATAGTTACTATTAATATATCCACTTTGTAGGAGAGGAGGCTAGGACACAGAGAGTTTAAGTTATTTGTCCAAGGCCCAACAGCTAATAAGTGCCGGTATGAATCCAGAACTTTTGCCCTCAACTGCAGCTGATGTGGCTCTAGAAGAGATTATTCTTTATTATTATTTTTTCCTGAACAGGGTGATCAGGGGATTCCAGGAGACAGAGGCCCACAAGGTGAACGGGGAAAACCAGGCCTTACAGGCATGAAGGGGGCCATCGGTCCTGTGGGTCCCCCAGGAAACAAGGGCTCCATGGGATCACCTGGCCACCAAGGCCCTCCGGGCTCTCCAGGCACCCCTGGCATTCCAGTAAGTAGTGCTAAGAGCTTAGGACTCCTGGCTTGTAGCAACCATATACATGAAATGATATGGCTTTTACAATGAAAGAAATGATAATGGCTTTCAAATAAATAAACCTAAACTGGCCCCTGTGAGGGCACCAATAGCTGTCATTTAAAGTTACATGGCGGATCCTCTACTAAGCACTTACTATACATTACCTCACTTGATCTTCACAATCATTCTGGAAGGACTGGTGTCCTTTCCAACCCACTTTTATAAATGCATAAAATAAGCATTGATTTGCCCAAGGTCACAGATTGATTAAATGTGTCAGATCCAGATCTGGATGGCTTCAAAACCATGCTTTTAAAAAACAGGTACTATCCATAATGTCTCCTTATACTACAAAGAAAATGTCCATTTCATACTCTATTTTGTTGAACAACAGATCTGCCCTGAGTAGTGCTTTGAAGTAGAAACCACTTAGGCAAAGAGTATTTAGTGAAGGAAGCCCATATCATTATTAATCCTCAGGAGGAGTGGTGAGTGGCCATTCTGCAGAGAAATTTAATCTGAAAACATCCATGTTAGGAAGAAAGGAGGGTTCTGAAGTGAAGTAGGACAGTTAAAGACAGCATCCTTAGATAATCAACCAACACCAAATATAAAGCAAAACTGGGCATTCACACAATTTTCATACTTCTTTATTTTTGCCCACTGTTCTTAAACTCTATTTGAATAAAGCCTGTGTAACTTCAGCTCTCAGTGCTGGGTCAGTAGTTGGTATTAGATGCATTAATTAAAGTTCATTTGTCACATACACAGTGAAAATAAGATAATGAAATAGAGCATTCTTGAAATTATTCTGTCCTACAGGAATCACTACTTTATAAGCCCATCACATTGGGTGTTTTTTTATTTTTGTTTTTTGGCATTCTAGTCAGCTTGTTGTTACAAATGAACTAGCACCATTATGTTAAGAAACCCTACAACAATATTATCACATACCTACACACAGACAGGCTAGAGGAATTTTCAGTGAAGAGTGATGGGGAACCTACCCAAGAATGTTTATAAACTAAGGCTCAGGCCGTGCACAGTGGCTCATGCCTTGTGTGAGCCAGCTCATTACTGGGTCCCCAGTAATCCCAGCACTTGGGGAGGCTGAGGCGGGGATATCATGAGGTGAGGAGTTTGAGACCAGCCTGGCCAACATAATGAAACCCCATCTCTACTAAAAATACAAAAAATTAGCTGGGTGTGGTGGTGGTCGCCTGTAATCCCAGCTACTCAGGAAGCTGAGGCAGAAGAATCGCTTGAACCCAGGAGGCAGAGGTTACAGTGAGCCAAGATCGTGCCACTGTACTGCAGCCTGGGTGACAATGCAAGACTCCATCTCAAAAAATAATAATAAAATAAAATAAAAATAAGGCTCACTGTCTAATTAGGCTCTGCTCCATTCTTAAATTCACATTGCATTGTGATTTTCCATAGAGCTGTCAACTCTGTCATCTGACCATGCTCTATTACTGTCTTTGTTAGAGTATATATCTCAAAAGTGGATAATTGGTTGCCTTTGTCGCAACCTCTAATCGTCATCATATTGTCTTTAATGCCACACATATAGCCCTGGATAATAATCACCAACTATGAACATTAATAAAATACTTTGAAATTCTAACCTTCATGAAAAATAATTGTTCTTTTAAAAATTATCAAGGTACTTTAATAAAACATTACTGTTATAAATGCTAGATTCTTTGTCAAATGCATGTGGATTTACTTGTCAACAGGTTAAAAATTCAGCTGACATTATTTGCCTGCTTCCTTTTACCAGACCCCAATTAAGAAAAGAAAATTGCTTAAAACCTATATATTTGCAATGTATAATTTACAGAATAAACTTTATGACGAAATGGGTAAAACTTGCTTTTACCCCATGAATACAACATTTTTGAAAATAATCCAGCATACTTGGAGTTCTACTCCAGGTTGTCTTCCTTTAAAAATACATTATATCAATTAGATATTGACTTTGCCAGTGTCCAGGGATTGGTTAGAAGTTAAATTGTGGTTAGTCTACTAACATCATGATTACACTTTTTAGATTCTTTAACTTTATAAAATGAAGTAATAGGAATGTCTTTCCTAGTTGTATAAAGCCATGTGTCTCCATTTAATAGGAAACCTTTTGATATCACTGGTTATGATTCCATCCCATAGCTTTTAAAGCAATTATGCACTTCAACTTGTTCCCAAACTTTAGTCAAAGCAATGGATATTTATTGTCCATATAGTCAATTGCCAAAAGCATTTTTTTTCATAAATGCATCTCTACAGATGTTTCCAAGAGGCATGCCAACCCAGTATTTCTATTCTTTTTATTCATTTGTGCTATGCTCTATTTTAACAGACCTTTTTTTCCCTTCTTCAGGCTGATGCAGTTTCATTTGAAGAAATAAAGAAGTATATTAATCAAGAAGTCCTAAGGATTTTTGAAGGTTAGCTTTTTTTAATAACATTTTTGAATTTTTCACTGATTCTCACCTTCCATCTACTATGGGGAATCCCTTCCACAACATTCTCAAGAGATGGCTGTGCCACAAAAACCTTAAGGGACAGCCCATTTTATGACGGGACAGCTCTTTGATGAAAATTCTTTATACAAAGTTACCTTTTGCCTCCCTGGAACTTCCTTTCATTATGCCTGGTCTGTAAAACAACACAGGTAAAGTATCGTGTTTTCACATGACAGCTTTTTGAGCATTTTTCAATATCCCTCATACTTCTTAAATATGTCTGGCTCCTCCACTATTATGACCCTGGGAAATGTTTAATTTATAAATGACTCTCATTTACCAAGGAATGTCTTTTTATTTAGATCAAAGTAAGCAAACTATAGCTCCCTAGCCCAAAGCCTTTGCCACCTGCTTTGTACATACTACAAACTGAGAATGTTTTTGCTTTTTTGGGGGGAGCAGTAGGGGTGAGTTATATTTTTAAATGGATTTTAAAAATTGAAAGAATATTTCATGATAAGTGAAAATTATCTGAAACTTGAATTCGTTTCTATAAATAAAGTATGCACATTCCTTTACATCTTTTCTCTGGCTGTTATCCCACTTCAGCAACAGGCCTGAGCAATTGTGACATAAAGGCATAAATATTTACCATCTAGCCCTTGCAGAGAAAGTTTTCTGACCCCTGTGCTGGATACTTCAGTAATTTATCCTAAGATGTATTCCTTTTTTAGAAAAGGCATCCATATTATTCTGTTGATTCATTTCGAGTTTTCCGTTAACTAACAAACGGCACTGGATCTTCCTTATACAGATATTTTTAAATGAGGTGTTTCTCATTATGGACTGTGTGTTTATTTTTTAAATCTAAGTGTGTGATCTTATGTTTCCTCTTATTAATTTCAAATCATTTATATTCATATCTTGTTCTAACCTGAAGATGTTTTTTGAAATGTTTTCTCTTGTACAGCAGGTTGGCTGACCCTATAACTTTATGTCATGCTAAATTTCATAAGCATGTCATCGTCCTAGTTGTTAATAGAAATGTTGACTGAAAAAGCTGAGAGTCAAGGATTAGGTCTTTCTAAATGCCATGGGATTCTTTCTGTCCACTTGTAAATCATCTACTAATCTATTGTTTAGTAAGCTCTGAATCTGTTTTGTTGTCCAAAATTCACCCTACATTTCTTTGTCTATTTGTAAGGAATAGACAGGTTAACATGATTTTCACAAATGATTTGCTAAAATCAAGACCAAACTTCTGAACTATAAGATTTGACAAATAAATCCATGTTGGCTCTTGGTTCTTGTGGTTCCTACTTTGTTTGCTTACCATCCATAAGCTAAAAGTAGATTGTTGAATTTTGTAAGGAATAAGATTATAAGATGCCCCAAGTTGATGTTGAGTTCATCACTTCAAACATGAAATCAGCACTTCTCCAAGGAGTCTTGATTATTTTAAATAACAATTAGCAGGAGAGACTGAAATCTTGGTGCTTGGATCCACATTATCTTGCTTTATATGAGAACTGGAAATAGAGTAGAGTAACACTGGGACTTGTAGCTACTTTAATGACAGAACAGAAAACAAAATGTTTTTTTTGTTGTTTGTTAGTTTGTTTGTTTTTTGAGATGGAGTCTCACTCTGTTTCCCAGGCTGGAGTGCAGTGACGCAATCTCGACTCACTGCAACCTCTGCCTCCTGGGTTCAAGCGATTTTCCTGCCTCAGCCTTCATAGTAGCTGAAATTACAGGTGCCTGCCAACATGCCTGGCTAATTTTTGTATTTTCAATAGAGATGGGGTTTTGCCATGTTGGCAAAAAATGTCTTTTTAAAGGTCATAAATTTATGCTATTGATTTTTTCTTTTCCTTTATTTTTTAACATTTTTCCGCCATTTATTTATTTTATTGCATTTTAGGTTTTGGGGTACATGTGAAGAACATGCAAAATTGTTGCATAGGTACACACGTGGCAGTGTGATTT